GGTTTCTTTGTGATTAGTAACACTTAAGGGTTTCTGTGGACTTTTCAAGTTTCTCCTGGAGTCTTGTTTAAACTTTAGCATTCACAATGACCTTACTGCTCATATGGAAAAATGTCTGTTTAGATGCAGAGCTTTTCATGCCAAAGGATTTAGGCCATTAACTAACTGTGAAAATACAAAGCAAAATACTTGTCTTTGTCTGAAAAAGGGAAGCCATCTGAAAATGTAGACCAAAACACTCTGATAGGGGTCTGCATGTTAACATCTATGATCCTTAGTATTTTAAATGCTTCATCATACTGGATTCACAATTTATCGTCTTTGCCCATCAGAGAATAGTGTCATCATGCTATAGTGAAAAGAATTGTGCATGTGCTATAGAAATGACCAGAAAATTTAATAGACTTCATGTAGCAATAGCTGCTCTTCTTATGATGCCAGTGTTATTGATATGGAAGTACAGAAATTAAAATGAAGAAATATAAACTAATGGGGGAAGGGGTGGGAGTGGAACCACTGCAAGATCTGTCTTTCTGAAAACTGCCTGATTGCTTTTCAGATCTATACTTGTTTTTTCCTGTTGACAAGCAAAGCTTGGGAATAATAAGTGCTGCATGAATTAAATCCATCACACTTGACTGACTGGATACCATGTGCTGGATCTTCAGACCAATCTGGGTTCTACCAGTGTGCCGCTATTGATTTCTGTGCTTTGACAGAAAATAGCTGAGAGACAAATGACTGGGTAGTGGTGGTGGGGAAGCAGGAATCCTACAAGCATTTTTTGTAACTATAGCTGTAGTTAGTAGCTAATGTAACACCAGATTTCCCCTATCTAAAACACCAGTGAGCATGTGAGCATGGTTTTGTACATCACTCAATACGTTTTAAATATTTCTCTCTTGATACTGCACACTGTTCTTTTGTGTCTCTTTAAGAAAGGATTATTGATAGCAAACCAGGAAAGTAGTTATTCTTGTCCACCTACAGCATGTCCGTTCCAAAGCATCAGCAGCTTCCCTCTTTTGCAGCACAGCCATTCTGTGTCAGAGATACCAGTCATGAACTCAGATGAGAATGTAAATCCATCCCATTGAAATGGAAGTCGGCAACGTTGCACAAGTCTTTCACCAATCACTGTTTATTTCACTCTCTCTGTTTTTAATTCTCAGACAAGTATAAGCTTTGAAAAGTTCCAAAAAGCATTTTCTTTTCTATTCCTCTCCCCTTTTTTCTGTTTTTTTGTCTGTTCCATTTTATTTTGTGTAAGAAAGATCGAATCCTGTCCCTGGCTGGACCTAAGAGGGGAACTGGGACCAAAAATACCCAAGAGTTGGCTTGCATGTGGAGTAGCAGGGACTCCTGATGGAGTATTGGTGGGCTACTTGTTTTTTTCTGATGAAATGTATAATAGAGTAGCAAATGTTGAATATTATGTAGAGTACACTATAAATTGCTCCCGGGCAGAGTGCTATGGTAAAACTGGGGAATGGGAGGTCTCAGCTAAAGTTTTGCTGTTTGCCTTGTACCACACTTGGGTAAGACACAGTACCTTTCTGCCTTGTCATGCATCTCTACACGTTATTAATCCTCTGTGCCAGGACTGTTTCTCCTGTGCTTGTCTAGGACTTGGAATAAAGTTTCCATGAGGGATCTGTAGAAGGCACTAATCCAAATCATCAGTGCTCAAAAGGGAGTTGTGTATGAATGACTGTGCCAGCCAGGTACACTAATGGAGTTCTGCACCTTCTGCAGGCAGACAGGAGAACAAACAGGTTTCACACCATGCTACAGTCTCCTCTCCTAGACTTCCTTTTGATATTACTTCATTTTGATTATCATCAAATCGTAACATACTGTTAAAGGACTTCTCTGTGCATAAGTGAAATCCAGCTGGGTTCATCCCTGCTAACATCTGTAGCATATTTCACCTGAGTGGTTATGGTCATTTTGAATAAACTCTGCATTTTGTCAAGGTAAATATATGTATGCAGCAGTCACTGGTTTGTGAAACATGCTGCTCTGACATTTTCTACTGATGGCTCTGTTAGGGAGAAATGTTAAGCTTTAGGATTTTATCTCTCGTAAGGGAAGGAGAAGACTTTATGTATCTTTCTTCTTTCTAATGTCTGAAGTACTACATAGCCTAGAAAATAGAAAACTAAAATCATTTTTACATTTAATAACATACTATAATAATCAAGTACAGATCTGATTACTAAAGCCTTTCAATATCTGAAATGGAAGTTCCTTATTAACATAGGAGTCTGCTCTAAAAACTCATTTGTATAGTACCAATTCACAGTAATTCCTCACAACTTCTGAGTAATGTATTCTAGAAGAGCATTACAGATACTCCCAGTAGGTACAGCTTAAATTAACTGGCATGAGGGGACAGTGCATACTGGTGGCTGTTCAGGAATGCACAGTGCTAATGGAGGGATTTAAAGTCCTTTCCTCACATGTCAGTTTGTGCCTTTCAGTGGTGTAATAATAGAATTTTGAACATTTATTTTTGAAATCAGACATGGGAACATTTGGGATGAACACAGTTGGTCATGTCTGTTGCCCGCAGTAGTACTTTGTTTAAAAAAAATCCCAACAAACTATATAAAATACATTGGTGTCACACTCCAAATCCCTAATCATCATATTTGTATTTTATCTGATAAGGAAAATGTTTCTTTGCCATATATAGGCCCCGTTTCAAGGCTGAAGTTTCAGCTCCTTTACAACATGCCTATGACACAACGGCTGGTTTTAGTTCCCTGGCGGCAGCCAGTTACAAGTTGCTGTCCTGGTTCGGGCTGGAACAGAGTTCCTGTTTGTTTTAGTAGCTGGAGGAGTGCTGCAGCACAGAGACCCCAGGGGCTCCCCAGGTCCCAGAGCCCTCACCTGTGTGCGGGGGCGGGGGGAGCACAGCTGGAGTGCTGGGCCGGGATTGGCTGATATTCCATGTCATGTGACATTATGCTCACCATATAAAGGCAGGAGAGGGCTGGGAGAGGCTGCCACTGCTGGGAGTGTGGCTGTGGGGCCTTGGTGTTTGGGATTGCTGGCTGGGAGCAGGTGGGTGTGGGTCAGCAGGTGGTGGGCAGCTATATTGTACATTACCTACTGATACTGCTGTCAGTGTATTATTCTGTTACTATTATTAAACTGTTTTTATCTCAACCCGTGAGTCTCCCTTTGCCCATCTGATTCCCTCCCCATTCCCAAGTGGGGGGAGGGTGGGTGAGCGGCTGTGTGGCATTTAGCTGCTGAGTAGGCTCAAACCACAACAGTCCTTTTTGGTGCTCAACGTGGGGCACGAAGGGTTAAGATAATAACCAATTTGATCTGTGGGTACTATCAAGTTTGTTATAATGCCAACTGCCCATCCTGTTATAATGTCATTTGCTTGGCTTCTAAAATCGTGGATTTTGTTGCTGCAGTTGTGTTATACATCACATTACTTACCATATGTAGTCCCCATGTTGTTGCTTATTACCTGTGGGAATTGGATTAAGGTTTTTGCCTTGCTGTATTATGCAACTCTAATCTATGGCATGATAAAATCTTTGGTCCTGGGAGTTATGGGGCACCTACTGGAGTGGGTTAGTAACTATACCCTCCACCTTTTCTCCTCGGAAAGCCCACCCAAGGGGGAGATACCTTTTTCCATCTTCCCCTTCTCCAAGATACTTGCAAGTATACTTGAGAATGCTGAGAACTCTGAATATCCATGGAATGCTCATATTAATGTTGTTGTCTTGTTTCTGGAAGATGTAGTGTTCCTGAATGTGGTTCAGGTTCTGTTTCGGGTTAAGCAACTGTTTCTGAATACCACCCAGAGGTCTACCCCAGGGTTGCAGAGTTATGAGTGGCTGGGAGTGTGGGGTAGCATGGGCAAGTACCTAGGACAGTGGGGGCCTCCAATGTTTTGGAACTTCACCCCTGAACAAGTGCGGGATCCTGAGAAATTAGTAAAATATTTAGAAAAGGTGTGCTGTCATCCTGACACCTCAAGAGAGATGCAGATCATTGCAACATGCTGGGGCCTGGCCCATGCCTACCGAACCCTGCTTGCCACTATGCGGTATCCTCAAAAGGAAGACATCTCTGCATCTGCGAGCAAAACAACCGGCACTGCAACCACTCCGACACCCCCACCAGGCACTGCAGCCACTCCAACTCAGGCGACCGACGCTGCAGCCAATCCGACCCCTACGATAAGTACTGCAGGTGAACTGGAGCATCAATCCACAACAGTATCAGTTGCTCCCATACAGAAGAAGAAATACACTAAAAAATCCCCTTGCATTATAAAAGATGATGATGAACCAGGGCCCTCACAAGAACTGGAGGAGGAGGCAGAGCCAGTGGTAATCACCCGATCTCTATCCCTGAGTGAACTACGAGACATGAGAAAGGATTTCAGCCGCCATCCAGGTGAACACCTCCTTACCTGGCTGCTCCGATGTTGGGATAGCAGGGCCAACAGTGTGGAATTAGAAGGTAGAGAAGCCAGGCAACTGGGATCCCTGTCCAGGGATGCAGGCATTGACAAGATTATTGGAAGAAAGACACAAACACTCAGCCTTTGGAGACGACTACTGTCAGGCGTGAGGGACAGATATCCCTTCAAGGAAGATCTTACATGTCATCTAAGTAAGTGGACTGCCATGGAGAGAGGCATCCAATACCTGGTTGATCCTGCCAGTAGCATATGCTTGTCTCAAAGCTTAAGCCATGCATGTCTAAGTACACACGGGCGGTACAGTGAAACTGCGAATGGCTCATTAAATCAGTTATGGTTCCTTTGGTCGCTCCTCTCCCACTCCTTGGATAACTGTGGTAATTCTAGAGCTAATACATGCCGACGAGCACCGACCTCCGGGGATGCGTGCATTTATCAGACCAAAACCAACCCGGGCCCGCCCGGCAGCTTTGGTGACTCTAGATAACCTCGAGCCGATCGCATGCCCCCACGGCGGTGGTGCAGCGGCGGAGGGGTGGCCATGGCAAAGCACACGGTGTCATCGGCGCGGTTCCGCCGGGTGGACATGGACGAGTACGACGAGAACAAGTTCGTGGATGATGAGGAAGGAGGCGACGGGCAAGCGGGGCCCAATGAGGGCGAGGTGGACTCGTGCCTGCGGCAAGGGAACATGATGGCCGCGCTGCAGGCGGCTCTGAAGAACCCTCCGATCAACACAAAGAACCAGGCAGTGAAGGATTGCGCAGAAAGTATTGTCCTGAAGGTCCTCATCTCTTTCAAAGCCAACGATATTGAGAAGGCGGTGCAGTCGCTGGACAAGAACGGTGTCGACCTGCTGATGAAGTACATCTACAAAGGCTTTGAGAGCCCCTCGGACAGCAGCAGCGCTGTGCTGCTGCAGTGGCATGAGAAGGCCCTGGATGCTGGAGGAGTAGGGTCCATTGTCCGCGTTTTAACTGCCAGGAAAACAGTTTAAATCCAGCAGCGAGTGGTTGTCCGCCACCCACGGCGTGGGAATTGCTGGTGCAAAAACCAAACCACTGAATGCCATTGCTGCCCCGTGGGCAGCGCCTGTCTCTCAGCTTGCCTTCTCGTTGTTTCTTTCGTACCCGATAAATAATGCATATCGTGATCTCTTTTTTTTTATACTGTCCTGGTTCGGGCTGGAACAGAGTTCCTGTTTGTTTTAGTAGCTGGAGGAGTGCTGCAGCACAGAGACCCCAGGGGCTCCCCAGGCCCCAGAGCCCTCACCTGGGTGCGGGGGCGGGGGGAGCACAGCTGGAGGGCTGGGCCGGGATTGGCCGATAGTCCTTGTCATGTGACATTATGCTCACCATATAAAGGCAGGAGAGGGCTGGGAGAGGCTGCCACTGCTGGGAGTGTGGCTGTGGGGCCTTGGTGTTTGGGATTGCTGGCTGGGAGCAGGCGGGTGTTGGTCGGCGGGTAGTGAGCAGCTGTATTGTACATTACCTGCTGATATTGCTGTCAGTGTATTATTCTGTTACTGTTATTAAACTGTTTTTATCTCAACCCGTGAGTCTCCCTTTGCCCATCTGATTCCCTCCCCATTCCCAAGTGGGGGGAGGGTGGGTGAGCGGCTGTGTGGCATTTAGCTGCTGAGTAGGCTCAAACCACAACAGTTGCCTAGCCACAAGGCAGAATTGGCCTTGCCAATGACTCTAAGGAACAGACTGAATTCCCAAATCCTTTGTAAGGTGGCAACAGCAGCATCCTTCGTGCTTCAGTGCTGTGTTGTGGCCATCAGAGGTGCTGACGTGATGAGACCATGTCTGACGGGAATTTTTACTCCTCTGCAAGACCCATCCCATGCAGCCTGGTCCAGAATCAGGATCTCAGTCTACGTAGAGGCTCCCTGGAAGGTGGGATCTCTTATTCAGCCCAGCACTGCAAGATAGCTTAGCTTGTGATTAAAAGCTTAAGAATTAAAAAAGGCAAAAAAGCTTTGGTAAAAATGAAAGCTGCTTTTCTGTGAGCAACAGAAATGGTATCAGAGCAAAAGCCTCAGGACATACTGCTGTGTGTATTGGACTTACTCAGTAACTCAATATTTATGATAAGAAATTAGGAAAATCAATTTAAATGGCTGCTGTTTAAAAATACTTTTCCAAGTGGTTTCTACTTTAAAGTCATCTGCATATTCACTTTTAGAATTTTTGGATGTGCTTCATTGAAGAAAAAAAAAATGTTTTTTTCAAACATTCTCAGAATGAGACAAGTTCACTATTTCAGCCCAGGTAACAGTTGCTTTTTGTTTAAAGAGTTATGGACCCCTGTGTATCATAACAGTCCTTAGACAACTTGATGTACACTAACCTAGCATTTTTAGTATGAATCTCCCTTTATTTTAATATTGTCTTTAAAATAATCGGGATTTCTTCAGCCTCTGCAAGTTATTGTGGTGGCTGCCTTAGGTTGGAGGAGTTTAGGTTCACTGAATAAAGGAAACTTCTCCACCTTTAAGAGCAAAGTGACAAAAAGGAGCTCTCAGCATCTCTGGTTCCAGTAAGGAAAACACGCAAATAGAAACAAAGATGTTTCCACTTACAGAACAACTGTTCTTAAGACATGATTTAAAATGCTCAAATTTCCAATAATATGTATGTAACATATTGCTGTCATCTGCAGCATATTGATAGGAAACCTTAAACAGCAGATGCTCTGTGGGACTTTTAAACTGAAGTCCAATCTATATAGGAGACAGAACTTATAATGAGACATAATGTAGTTGTGAGACAAGACATCACAGGCGATTTCCTGAAAGAAAGAGTGAGATTTAATCACTTTGGGCTACTTCTGCAGCTACTGCTGAGGCATGTTAGTTGCTCTGTCAGAGAGGGAGATGCTTGTCAAGATTGTAAGCAAACTGAATTGCTGCCAACCATTTACTCACAGACAACAGATGATTCACATAGACCATTTGTTTTATTTCTGTGCATTTCATCTTGTGTTCTGCTGTCTTTCTAAAATCCATGGCCTTTTATGTTACAACAACAGGACATTAACAATTATTGCTATTAAAGTGCTCCACACATAAGCAAAGCCCACTCTCTGCTACGTTAGTCATCAGAGCTCAGTTTAGTTTTTATCTCTATCAGTTCTAAAAGTTCTAATTCTAACAGCTTTAATTACCTCAGGGAAGTAATTTGACAATTTTTGGTAGATAAAAGTAATTTTTCAGCTACTTGGAGCAGGTAGTCTTGTGTTATATGAAGCGGGATTTGACTCTTCCCTGAAAGACTTCCAAGACATTGGAACAAGACATTTAATGGTGTAGAGGTGGATGACCTCTGCTTCCTAACTGCCAGGCACACAGAGGAGAGGGATGAAATCCATTTTATCTCAAGATTCGTATTTTCTGCAGCTTGCATAAAATATTAGCCCCAGCTAGCATTCTTGTTGCCAGTGTCAGCTAACATTCTGTTGCAGCAGCATGAAGAAAAGCAATACCTGGCAGATAATCAGCTAGGTAATTACTCTGGTAATTACTAGGCAGTCATTCTTAATCCAAAGGCAGGACATGGACAGTCTTAACTAGTCTTGGATCATTCTGCCAGCCTCCGTGCTGTGTAGTGGCTCCCACTCCTCAACAACATTTATCCAGTCTTCCTCATCCTATCCTCTCCTGTTGGGAGTATTTGCAGCCTGCAGTCTCCATCTTGATTTCTGGGTTGATTGCACAGATTGTAACTCAGGGCAAATTTGGCAGAAGGACTACAGGAGGTAAGGCAAGGAGAGACAGATGGGTGAAAATGACATTGATCCAATTGTCGTGTCTGAACTAGATGGAAAATCATATCCTTGTCCCATCACTCTCCGCACATCAAACAAATACGTTTAGCAAATACATTTAACATCACAGATATCGATATGCTCCTAAAAGTGGCAAAGGGTCTAAACTGATTTTTTGAAACACCACAGCTATTATGAAGAGCAAGACTATATTCCAGTTGATTAGCATCCTGCAGACCACTTGGTCTTATTTAGGGGCGTGTCATGAAGGAGATTGAAAAAGTGAAAAATGTTAGGTTTCTGTGGCAGTGATTGGAATTGGCATCACTAGTTTCAGTGCAGAACCACGTGGGAAAATAAAAATATGGTCCAAAGGGTTATGGCTAGAGAAAGGAGAGGGTGGTTGGGTCGGAGACCCCATTTGCCAGAAAACATGAGATACCACATGTTCCTTTTAGGCCAATAATTTTCATGAGAAACTCACTTCAGCACTCAGAAATTTGTTCTCAGAAATGTAAAGGTGCAGTAAGAGTGTGGGGCAGTACTGAAATGCAGAAAGCAAATTTCTCAAAAGCAGAAGGAAATTAAATGTTGGTGGCAGAGAGACTGTCTGTTCTTTTACTTCATCTAGTTGCCATCAGCTTTTGAATTTTGGTGTGCTTTCTTGGCCAAGAAACCCCTCTGTTGATTTTCATCAGAGTTAATCAGGCTATTGAATTGTCAGAGTATCCATAATTTATAGAGGTAGTGTTTCATGATTGATTCTTTTTTTCTTTCTTTCTTTTTTTAAACAGATAAAAGCAATTACCATTACAACAATTCACACTCAGAAGAGCATTTTCCCTGTTGTGTTTAATACAATTTCATTAAGTTAACACAATCCAAATTAAAATGTGAACAAGATACTTGTTTAATATATCAAAACTAAATTAAGTCTAGATTTGAAAAGGTGTTAAAGCTTTCCCTTTCATAAAATATAATTAGTGCTGATTTGTCTCTTAAATTTAAACTGAAATGAATTTATTGTTGAAATATAAACCGATAGACTAAGTCCAAGCCTAATGCAATTAACAAAGTGAGGAAACTTCATAAGGTTCAAATGAATATTATTGATATGCTTACAAGCCGAGGAACAAAGCATCAAGCTCAAATTATTAGAGCTACAATGGGCAACCCCTTTGAAGTTTATGACCATGGGAGAGACCAGGAACAGAGAAATAAAAAAATACACAAATTTGCAGAAAATGTTCATATTTTTTAGTAAACCTACACAGGTAAATTTTGGCAAGTGGGACATTAATATTTTGAACACATTATCTGAAGTCCAGTATTTGTGTAAGTATGGATTAGCACTGCAAATGCGTCTTATTTGAGGGTTACAAATTCCCTCTTCCTATGTTTGCACTCTTCTGTTTCTGTTCTTCATACTGTGCGGTGAATGAGTTTACTAAGCCTAATGTGAACAAAATTGGCAAACATAGTATATAAGCATTTGTCTAAATTGCTGAAAACCAATTTTGAATTTGGAAGTGTAACTATTTGTTCAAGAAGGTAATTCAGTTGTAACAGAAAAACATCCTACAGACTGTCAAAGCTAAATGACAAAATACAAACTAAAAACATTAGACACCTAACCAAGCCTGATTTAGAAAATGTTGAAATTTGATAATTAGGTCACTCAGTTGGGCAGTTAATTCTGAATTTAATCCTAAATTTTAGGTATCTGGTTTTGGAAAGATTTGCTCTCTCAGCCTCAGTTTTTCTTTTTGTAAAGTTGGAGTAGGGATACCTCATTTCCTTACAGAGATGGTAAGAGGATTACTTCTATTTACTCTGCTTTTGAGTATGGAAAGTCCTATAAAAGCATTAACTGAAAATTTCAGACAGATCTAGTGTTATCCTATTACCCACTCATAGAGGCAAGCAATGGGTAATTGGGTTTCTACTTACCTTCATTAGATAAGAGATTTCTCATTTAACTCTATCAATAGAAAGATTAAGAGTCCTCATTACTCCAGGAGAATAAAGTTGCATAGAGGAGTGAATAATAGTGAGTATAAAGCCATGGTTGTAAACCAATAGATCTGTTGCAATATAGAAGTTTCAGAGTATGAAACACCCTCTCTAACCTTTATGGTCATACTTCCAGTTCAATACATGGAGACACATTACTTTGTATCATGTGAAGCAGAATAAAGCGGTCCATTTATTGCATCAAAAGTTTACAAGCTGACTTCATATTGTCACACCTATCATGTGAAGCCAGATTATAAGACTCT